CGGAGTGCCCCTCTCTGCCTTTCCAGACCTGGCAGGCCTTGGGAGCCACTGGAAGAGTTTGCTTTTTTACTCAAGTTCAGAAGCCATTGGCAGGTGTTCAGCAAAAAAAGGATATAGTCTTATTTCCATTTTGGGTGGGTTGGCCATGTATAATTATTAATAGTGTCCTCTTTCATGCTCAGCAGAGATCTGATTTTGTTGGTAACCTGATTTGAGAAGATGTACCCTAATTGTTGAGTGGAAAGTAGACTTTGGGTGGCAAGGGTAGAAGCCGGGAGGTCAGTGCTGTAATCGACCAGAGATGAAGGTCTTGAACCAGAGTAGGAACAATAAAGAGAGTGAGAAGTGGTCGGAATCTGAGTGTATTCTGCTGCTAATGCAGGCAGAATTGGCTAAGGGTTTGGATGTGGGGTAGAAAAGGAAAGGGAGGGGTGGAGGATGACTCCAGGGCACTTGGGCAAAGCCCTGGGAAGGGAAGAAGATGTGTGTGTCTATATATAACCCTTAAACAATAGTTCACAAAGAATTTTTGCCATTTCTCTAGTCACTTGACTTTTTGCCGAAAGAAGAACTTGGAAACAAGGAGAATCACTGGTCTAGTTCAAATTTGAACTTGATGTGGAACAACTAGACTAAAATACGAAATGCATTGCGATGTTTGAGCCTAACAAATGTTTGTAGATTTGGGAATAGTGCACAGAAGAATTATGCTTTAGAATCATCGAGGAGCAATAATTTGTTTGGGTTCACATAAATTTTAGATAAATGTAGAAGAACGTGAGAAATGAACATTCTTAATTTCTATTCTTTGTAGAATAGAAATAGGTATCAGCAGAAGTCTGGAAATTGGAAGTGGTGAATGGGCATCTCGGGAGTCTTTTTTTTGAGACGGAGTCACAAGCTGTCACCCTGGGTAGAGTGCTGTGGTGTCACAGCTGACAGCAACCTCGAACTCTTGGACTTAAGCGATTCTCTTGCCTCAGCCTCCCAAGTAGCTGGGACTATAAGCACCTCCCACAGTGCCTGGCTTTTTTTTTTTTTTTGGTTGTAGTTGCCATTATTTGGCAGACCCAACCTGGATTTGAACCTGCCAGCTCAGGTGCATGTGGCTGATGACTTAGCCGCTGAGCTACAGGCGCTGAGCCATGAAAGGGCATCTCCTAGGGATAAAACTTTTATCCATTCAGTGTCGTAGACAGTTACCCAGTTATCTGCCAACTGTTCTTTAATTGCTTATCTGACAAGCTAAGGGAGATGCAGCCTTCTGTAGGAAGGTAAGTATCTCTTTTCCCCCAAATACAGTGCAGTACCAGAATTGCTCTTACGTGTAAAAGACACTGGGAACATGGATGAAGGGTCTCGTAAGCCTACTGTGGATGTCAGGATTACTTCACAGATAAGGGTGATTTCTGAGGGCGAGAAGCTTGCCAGATGGACAGGTAGAATATTAAAGGCACAAGAGATGATTGTTGCAATGTAAAGGTGGAACATAAAATCATTCAGGGATGCTCAAATTCATCCACATTAAAACTATGAAAGAGGGGTAGAGAGGTCACAGGGATTGGGGGACAGCCTCTAGGAATGGCGTATACTCCTTCCAGGCAGTGTCCTTTTAAGTAGAGATGGCATACTGTGTGCTCCCTCCCCCTGTTCCCTCTTACTTCTCTCTCCTGTATTCCTCATATCTCTTACTGGGGTTTCTGAAACTCAGCACTGTGAACATCTGGACTGGGCAGGTCTTTGCTGTTGGGGGCTGCCATGTGCCCTGTGAGATGCTCAGCAGTATCTGTGCCCTGTACCCGCTAGCTTCCAGTAGCACTTCTCAGTGGTAACAACCAAAAACGTCTCCAGATATTGCCAGATGTCCCCTGGAGTGTGGGGATGGGGTGTCCACTCTTGGTTGAGAATCTCTGCCTTGCATCAGGTTTAATGCTCAGTTCAAGTCTTTGTTCATCAGTAATTTCTGTTGTGTCAGTGCTTTTCAACACATATCTGCCACCCTGGTACAGACCTTTAGTGCTTTAGTTACTACATACTTTCTTAGTTTTTTTTTTTTTTTTCACTGTAGGATGATTAATCATCAGGGAGCTCAGCTGTCATGTCACTCGCTCATGTGTGCAGTGCTGTCCCCTTCTCTGCCCATAATTCTAAATGTTTCGTCCAGGTACCCAAAGCTTTCCGGCACCCCATCTCCAGCTTCATCTTATTCTCTTACGTTCTCTTCTCCAGCCAAATTGGACTGCCAACTTTGGGGCTTTCAAGATGCTCCTAACCTTGTTTTCTCTCCACTTGTTCTTTGCTTATACTGTTGACTGAGTCTGCAAAGCTGCCCATTCCTATTTCCAGATACACTTTGAAACACTGAAACTGATTTTTCCAGCTCACATTCTCAAGGTCAGATTCTCTCCTTTTTTTATTGTACATCACCCAACAATAACATTTATTTGTGTTTTGTTTTCTAGTCCTTTATAATAAGTGTGGCTTCTTTGTATTCCTCTTATCTCCCAACATCTGGTCTTGGACAAAACAAGCTTCCTTTGAATGAACATAAATTATCCTACAGCAGATTGTCATAAACTGTGAAACTTTGTTGCCACATTAATACTGTAATCTAAGAAATGGTAACACAAGTACAGATACATTCCTGAGATTATCAATACTGACACTGTGTCATTGAAGATTTTTAACATTTATGTTTGTTTTTCTTTCTAGCCTGCCTATCAGAACCTGAGACAGCGTGTTGATAACTTTGTTGCAAACCACTTGGCAACTCACACTTGGAGTCCTCATCTCAATAAGAACCAGCTAAGAAACAACATCAGACAACAAGTTCTCAAGTAAGTCTGAGACTTAGTATTCTCCGCAGCCTTGAAAATGTCATTTTCAACCTATTTTGTCTGAAAGCAGACATTGCAGAGAAGTGCATCTGCCTGCTGGTGCTGGCGGTTTCACCAGGTTTGAGGGGGCTACTCGGCTGTGATATAGTGTAATTTGGTAATGTGGTCTCATCACTTCACATTCCCCCATAAATTTTAGCAGTCTGACTTTTCCTGTAGACCTTTGGAAATATTTGAAGGAAAAATAACAGCATGACTTTTTTAAAACTAGACAGAGTATTAATAGATGATAAATTCCCTAATACCCTGTACAGTTGGATTCACAACTATTTTCTTGACCCTAAAAGAATGGGTTTTATTGTGCTTGTTATACAAATAATGATTTTTAAAGACCACTGAAATGGAATTGTTTTGATCTGAGACCATGTTTTCTGTTGTCTAACATGCTTATCCCTCTTTTTTTATTTTTATTTTTGTATTTTACTATGACTTTAAACTCTGCTATTTAGTGATATACCAAAAAAGGGCAGGGGTGTTTGGACGTGTCAGAACCATTTTAAGTGAACATAAGATAAAAAGAATGAAAGGAGCTGTAATGTTTTGAGAGGCCTAAAAGCATATTTACTAAACAAAAAAAAAAAAATCCTGATTTCTGATCGTTCTTGAATATAAACATTTGCCAAACAGACCCTATCCCTGCCCCCCCGCCCCAGAAGAGTGACTGCATTATTTAAAGAGTGCTTGGTCTCCTTGCCTTTACAAATATTTATGTTCGCATATATCTGAGATGAAATACAGCTTTTAAACAGTTAAACAAAATAATTGAATACCTGCCACCTTAGTTGTTTTTGTCCCATAGGAACCTTGCTGACTATCTATTGTGATAGTTGCAACCAACAGAAAGTCCCACAAGTAAAACTTCATACCATGGCTCCAAGACAGACGCATTCAGCCACTAGTAATCCTAGAAACCAGGGCCCTGAGGCCCAGACAGGTTCTCCTCATGCATAAGACAGGAGGGAAATTGTCAATAGCTCTGTTGTCTGCATTTTACAGGATGTGTAGGGAACCTGTAAGAGAGTCCAGTTGAGATCAAAAGATGCCCTTAAAGGACTGCATGGTAATTTCTGTTAGGAATAGGCCTGAGCTCTTTTTAGAAAAAGTAGAGGCAGAAGACATCTGTTGGGTGACAGGCCTGGAGGCTACTCAGTTCTACCAAGGCCTTCAGGAGAACAAGAGCCAAAGTGCACAGGCTGGAGGAGGGGCCACTGAGGCAGCCCTCGAGGTACACAGTGCTGTAGTCCACAGGCTGGAGGAGGGAGCACTGAGGCAGCCCTCGAGGTTACACAGTGCTGTAGGGCACAGGCTGGAGGAGGGGGCACTAAGGCAGCCCTCAAGGTATACAGTGCTGTAGTCCACAGGCTGGAGGAGGGGGCACTAAGGCAGCCCTCGAGGTACACAGTGCTGTAGGGCACAGGCTGGAGGAGGGGGCACT